CCATAAAAATCCCCATTTTTCCCATAAAAATCCCCATTTTTCCATAAAAATCCCTTTTTTCCATAAAAATCCCCATTTTTCCATAAAAATCCCATTTTTCCCATAAAAATCCCATTTTTTCCATAAAAATTCCCCTTTTCCCATCAATTTCTCTCCATCCCAGGTCGGATTTTTCAGGAATTTTTTCCCGCTGGGAATTCGGGGCCGTTCCCAAATTCCCGGCGCCGCCCCTCCCCCTCCTCATCCTCCTATTTTTTTTTCCCTCATTTTTTTCTTAATTCCCGTTTTTTTTTAATTCCCGTTTTTTTAAAATTCTCTTTTTTTATTCCCATTTTTCTTAATTCCCATTTTTTCATTCCCATTTTTAATTCCTAATCTTTTTTAATTCCCTTTTTTTTTTTAATTCCCATTTTTTTAAAATTCTCTTTTTTTATTCCCATTTTTTTTTAATTCCCGATTTATTTTTATTCCCATTTTTTCAATTCCCATTTTTTAACTCCCATTTTATTTCTAATTCCCTTTTTTTTTCATTTTTTATTTCATTTCTTTTTTAATTCCCTTATTTTTATTCCCATTTTTCTTAATTCCCATTTTTTCATTCCCATTTTTAATTCCTAATCTTTTTTAATTCCCTTTTTTTTTTTTAATTCCCATTGTTTTTAATTCCAGGGTTTTTATTCCAATTTTTTTTTAACTCCCATTTTTTTTTAAATTCCAATTTTTTTATTCCAATATTATTTTTAATTCCTGGTTTTTTTAATTCCAATTTTTTTATTCCAATTTTTTTTAATTCCCAATTTTTATTCCCATTTTTTTAATTCCTAATCTTTTTTAATTTCCATTTTTTTTAGTTCCCAGTTTTTTATTCCAATATTTTTTTAATTCCCATTGTTTTTAATTCCAGCTTTTGTTATTCCAAATTTTTTTTAATTCCCATTTTTATAAATTCTAATTTTTTCATTCCAATTTTTCTCTAATTCCAACTTTTTTGTAATTCCCATTTTTTTATTCCAAATTTTTTTTAATTCCCATTTTTATAAATTCTAATTTTTTCATTCCAATTTTTCTCTAATTCCAACTTTTTTGTAATTCCCATTTTTTTATTCCAAATTTTTTTTAATTCCCATTTTTTTTTAAATTCCTAATCTTTTTTAATTCCCATTTTTTAAATTTCTATTTTTTTATTCCAATTTCTTTTAAATTCCCCTTGTTTTTAATTCCAGCTTTTTCATTCCAATTTTTCTTAATCCTCATTTTTTTAATTCCAATTTTTTATTCCAAAGTTCTTCAATTCCCATTTTTAATTCCCATTTTTTTTACTCCCATCTTTTTAATTCTCATTTTAATTCCCGCTTTATTTTTAATTCCCGTTTCTCTTAACTCCAATTTTTTCAACTCCCATTTTTTTCCTCCTCATTTTTTTTTTTTTTTTTTTAATCCCCATTTTTTTTTTCCCAATTCCCGCTCATTTCCCCCCATTTTCCCATCCCGGAATTCCCGATAAATCCGATGGTTCCGATTCCAGATTGACAGCGATGATCTCCTGGACAACTCCGGAGACGCCGCCAGTGCCTTCTTCGAAGGTGCCGGGGTGAGTATTCCCTCCCTCCCAAATTTTCCCGGGATTTTTCCCCTTTCCCAACTGGAATTCCATCCCTTTTCCCCGGAAATTCCCATTTTTCCAACCCCTGGCGTTTTTTTCCCGCTCGGATTCGGCTCCGGGATGAAAAAACGGGCGGGAAAAGAGGAAAAAAAATCGGGGGAAATTCCGATTTGGAGCAGAAAATTCCCGTTTTTTCCCGTTCCTTCGGATGCAGGGATGGGAAAAATCCGGGATAAATTTGGAATCCCAACCCCGAATCCCGATTTTTCCCCCCAAACCTTGGGATGTCCAGCACGGAATTCCGGCTCGAATTCCTTAATTTTTTCCCTGTTTTTCCTTATTTTTCCCTCATTTTCCTCCCTTCGGCCTCGGCTCCTCCTGATTTCCAGGAAAATCCCAATTTTCCCATTTTTTCCCCGATTTTTCCGTTTTTTTCCCCGATTTTTCCGGTTTTTCCCCATTTTTTCCATTTTTCTCCCAATTTTTCTGTTTTATTCCTGATTTTTCAGGTTTTTTCCCGATTTTTTCTGGTTTTTTCCCCAATTTTCCTGGGTTTTTCCCCAATTTTTCCAGTTTTTCCCCGATTTTTGCATTTTTTTCCCAATTTTTCTGTTTTATTCCCGATTTTTCAGTTTTTTTCCTAATTTTCTCTGTTTTTTCCCCGATTTTCCCAGTTTTTCCCAATTTTCCCCTTTTTTTTCCTGATTTTTCCCATTTTTTTCCCAATTTTTTCCTTTTTTTCCCCAATTTTCCCGGTTTTCTCCCGATTTTCCCATTTTTTTCCCAATTTCTGTTTTTTTCCCGATTTTCCCGGGTTTTTTCCAATCCCTTCCATTTTTTACCCAATTTTTTCCATTTTTTTCCCAATTTTTCCAGTTTTTTTCCAGTTTTTTCCTGATTTTCCCAATTTTTTCCTTTTTTTCCCCAATTTTCCCGGTTTTCTCCCGATTTTCCCATTTTTTTCCCAATTTTTTCCATTTTTTTCCCAATTTTTCCAGTTTTTTTCCAGTTTTTTCCTGATTTTCCCAATTTTTTCCTTTTTTTTCTCAATTTTTCCATTTTTTTCTCAATTTTCCCATTTTTTTCCCAATTTTTCCGGTTTTTTTCCAGTTTTTTTCCCAATTTTCCCATTTTTTTCCCAATTTTTTCCTTTTTTTCTCAATTTTTCCATTTTTTTCCTAATTTTCCTGGGTTTTTCCCAATCTTTTCCATTTTTTCCCAATTTTTTCCATTTTTTTCCAATTTTTCCTTTTTTTTCCCCCATTTTTTTCCCCAATTTTCCCATTTTTTTCCCAATTTTTTCTGTCTTTTTCCCGATTTTCCCATTTCCTTCCCAAATTTTCCCATTTTTTCCCAATATTTTCCATTTTTTTCCCCGATTTTTCCCGTTTTTTCCCAATTTTTCCGTGTTTTTCCCCGATTTTTCCCATTTTTTCCCAATATTTTCTGTTTTTTCCCTGATTTTTCCCAATTTTTCCCAATATTTTCCGGTTTTCCCCGATTTTTCCCCTTTTTTCCCAATTTTCCATTTTTTTCCCCAATTTTTCCCATTTTTTCCCAATTTTCCATTTTTTTCCCCGATTTTTCCCATTTTTTCCCAATTTTCCGTATTTTTCCCGTTTTTTCCCAATTTTTCCGGTTTTTTCCCCGCTTTTTCCCGTTTTTTCCCAATTTTCCTGTTTTTTCCCCGATTTTTCCTTCCCCCACTCTTCGATTCTTGGCCGAGCTCCGAGATTCCGTTCCCTTTTCCCTCTTTTCCCGCCGGGATTTTCCCTCGGTTCCCCCCGGATCCGTTTTGTCCTCCCGATCCGCGGGAATCCCCCGGAATTCCGGGAGTTTCCGGTGCCGGGAAAGCCCCGAACGTCGAGGTCCTGGCGATCCGCCGGATCCGATGGATCCCACTGGATCCCGTGGGGTTCCGTTGGGTCCCGTTGGATCCCGTGGGGTTCCGTTGGGTTTCTCGGGATCCATTGGATCCCACTGGATCCCGTTGGGTTCCGTTGGGTTCTGTGGGGTTCCGTTGGATCCCGTGGGGTTCCGTTGGGTTCTGTGGGGTTCCATTGGGATCTGTTGGGTCCCACTGGATCCCATGGGGTTCCGTTGGGTTTCTCGGGATCCATTGGATCCCACTGGATCCCGTTGGGTTCCGTGGGGTTCCGCTGGATCCTGCGGGGTTACCCAGGGTCTGTTGGATCCCACTGGATCCCGTGGGGTTCCGTTGGGTCCCGTTGGGTTCCTTTGGGTTCTGTGGGGTTCCTTGGGATCTGTTTTGTCCCACTGGATCCCGTTGGGTTCTGTGGGGTTCCTTGGGGTCTGTTTTGTCCCACTGGATCCCATTGGGTTCTGTGGGGTTCCTCGGGATCTGTTGGGTTCTGCCGGATCCCGTTGGGTTCCTTTGGGCTCCTTTGGGGTTCCTTGGGATCTGTTGGATCCCGTTGGGTTCCGTGGGGTTCTACTGGATCCTGTTGGGTTCTACTGGATCCCGTTGGGTTCTGTTGGATCCCGTTGGGTTCTGTGGGGTTCCACTGGATCCCGTTGGGTTCTGTTGGGTTCCACTGGATCCCGTTGGGTTCCGCTGGATCCCGTTGGGGTTCCTTTGGGCTCCTGCGGGGTTCCTTGGGATCTGTTGGATCCCGTTGGGTTCTGTGGGGTTCCACCAGATCCTGTTGGGTTCCATGGGGTTCTACTGGATCCTGTTGGGTTCTGTTGGATCCCGTTGGGTTCTGTTGGATCCCGTTGGGTTCTGTGGGGTTCCACCAGATCCTGTTGGGTTCCATGGGGTTCTACTGGATCCTGTTGGGTTCTGTTGGATCCCGTTGGG